CTTGGAGGGGCATGAAGACCTGGCCCTGTTTGGGGAGAGGAAGTTTCTGGGGCCCCCATGCCCAGGTTCTGAGCCCAGAGCCCTGCCCTGGGCTAGACAATCGGATCCCAAAGGAACGCCAGAGGGGACCGGGTCAGGAGGGCCCCTCTGCAGCTCCCCAAGAAGCAGACGGCTCCAGCCTCAGCTCCACCCGTCCCCCTCCCTGCTCCGGGCCTTCCGTGGGTCCCCGGAGACGGCAGCATCCCGAGGACAGGCAGACTTGGCCACACCACGGTGTCCCTTAAAAGACAGAGGCCAGGAGCGACCGTCCAGCCCCCGGGAGAGACACGCAGGCCCCGCCCCGCCATGGTACTGGGCCCTCCAGTGCAGGGCTGTGCTATACACACACGTATATAGAGATATATAATTTCGGAGTTTTTTTCTCATAATCCAGAACACACAGTGGCTACTTTTTATGTTGGCCTGGAATCTCTCTCTGAGACCCCCGATTTTACCTTCTTTCTTGGAGGGTGTTGGGAGGAGACCCCTCTTCAAATCCAGTTTCCTCCACATCCGCCCCTCTGAACTGACACCTCCACCACCGCCCCCCATCCACCCCGAAGCGTCCCAGAGGGTGCGGGGTCAGGTCCACCACCCCCAGACACCCCCCACCCCGGGGTGAGGCAGGGGCAGCCCCCAAAGCAGTGCCAGCAGGACTCGTTGCCAGTGATACCAAAACACTTTCCCACGCAGTGCCTCACTTGTCTGCTGGTGTGTCACCCCCGTGGTCCGTCCCCAGCCCGCCCTTCCCTCGTTCCGGCCCCACGTCTCCTGCTGTATTTGGGGGTGCGCTGCGGTGCTTGCCTTCTGCCACCCCCGCCCCAGCCCTGCTCCCGGGCTCCAAAGGGGTCGTTTTGGAATCCCTGGCCCAGAGGACAGACCTCAGGGGCACACCCCGGGTCCCGGGCGAGGGCTTCTCCTCCCCAGGTGGTTGCGGGGCCAATTCCCGGATGCCACACACCTCCCCAGGCAGTGTCCCCACCTCCCATGCAGGCTGGCAACCCTGTCTCAGGGTCATTGCTGCCCCACCCCCAGCCCAGAGGCACCCCCGTCCCCCACCCTTCTTGCCAAAGGACCGACTTGTCCCCGTCCTGGAGACCAGCCTCGGGTGGCATCCCCTCCTGCCCCGTCCCCTTGCCCCTGACTGACCGACTCCCTGTTCTGTGTCTTCCAGCTGTGACTAGGAAGGGCATCCGGTGTGAAACAAACAAAAAAACAAAACCCGATATATGCAATATCTGTCTGTCTGTACCCGTGGGCCCGGCTCAGCAGTCAGAGGGGCGTGGGGACAGCCAGGGGCGTCAAGTCACAGGCCCGGGTCTGGGCGGCAGACTGTGCTGTTGTCTTGTCCTCGGTTTTATTTTCTGTTCACTCTTTCTTTTTCTTTTGTTTTCTTTTCGTCGTTTTAATTCTAATTTCCTTTGCTTTTTACTTGACCAAAGCTAAGACAATAGCCAGATGGTTAATGGGGCGGCCAGATGGGGAGGGCCGGGGACAGGATTCTGCAGCCTCAGGCCATCCCCTCGCCCCACACCACCTCCAGCCCCACCCGGCCCCCCAGCATCTCGGGTCAGGACCCCCCAGGCAACTGGCCCCCAGTCATTCACCCATCGGCCCCCCAGGGTTTAGAATTCTTTCAAGAGCCACCGTCATACACTCATGCCATGTTTTCTTCCAAAAAGACACCTCAGCAAGCCCCAGGGGACAGAGAGAGAGCCCAGACCGCCCCCTGGCCAGGACACTGCCCCTCAGAGCCGCCCCTTGACCGGAGAGCCCAGTGTGTCCATGTGGCTGATTCCTGATTTTTTTTTTCCTCCCCTGTGTTCCCTGGGGAACTAGGGAGCAGGTGGCACCGTCCCTGCAGCACCTGCACCCCGCGGCACCCCAGGGCCCAGAGCACCCCAAAAACGAAGACCGGGCACTGCCCCCCCTGCCCCCAGCTTGCGTTCCTGAATACACGAGGCAGGTGCCAGGCAGCGTGTCGTCCTGGGACTGTTTGGTTTTTCCCCATATTTCTTGGAAAAGCTACGCAGTCCCTGCAGGGCCAAGTTCCTAGGCCCCTCGCTGCAGGCAGAATAAGGTCGAAACACCAGGAACCAGGGTCCCAGGCCCACCTCGGCATGGGGTAGGTGACGGCATCCCCAGGGGTGTTGGTTGGTTTTGTTTCATTTTAACATTTATGAAACTGACATCTCCTCCCAACTCCCCCCGCATCACCCCCCTACCCACCCATCCTCCATCCCCCGTCAGAGGCTTGGCCACAGCCGTGCAAAGCCCCCCAGCCCGACCCTGGGGTTCAGCCCAGGCTGTGGGAAGGAGTGGGGGGGCCCTCCCACATATATGCAAATTGCCTCATGCCTTTGCCCCGGTGGAGATGGGTCTTGGAGGGGCATGAAGACCTGGCCCTGTTTGGGGAGAGGAAGTTTCTGGGGCCCCCATGCCCAGGTTCTGAGCCCAGAGCCCTGCCCTGGGCTAGACAATCGGATCCCAAAGGAACGCCAGAGGGGACCGGGTCAGGAGGGCCCCTCTGCAGCTCCCCAAGAAGCAGACGGCTCCAGCCTCAGCTCCACCCGTCTCCCTCCCTGCTCCGGGCCTTCCGTGGGTCCCCGGAGACGGCAGCATCCCGAGGACAGGCAGACTTGGCCACACCACGGTGTCCCTTAAAAGACAGAGGCCAGGAGCGACCGTCCAGCCCCCGGGAGAGACACGCAGGCCCCGCCCCGCCATGGTACTGGGCCCTCCAGTGCAGGGCTGTGCTATACACACACGTATATAGAGATATATAATTTCGGAGTTTTTTTCTCATAATCCAGAACACACAGTGGCTACTTTTTATGTTGGCCTGGAATCTCTCTCTGAGACCCCCGATTTTACCTTCTTTCTTGGAGGGTGTTGGGAGGAGACCCCTCTTCAAATCCAGTTTCCTCCACATCCGCCCCTCTGAACTGACACCTCCACCACCGCCCCCCATCCACCCCGAAGCGTCCCAGAGGGTGCGGGGTCAGGTCCACCACCCCCAGACACCCCCCACCCCGGGGTGAGGCAGGGGCAGCCCCCAAAGCAGTGCCAGCAGGACTCGTTGCCAGTGATACCAAAACACTTTCCCACGCAGTGCCTCACTTGTCTGCTGGTGTGGCTTTGGGGTTCTCCTCTCCCGTCCCCGGCAGCACGCAATCCCGAGACAGGAAGGAGGGTGTTGGGGACCCAACGGGAAGGAATAAGGGCTCTGGGGAGGAAGGAGGTCACGCACCCCAAGCTGTCGCCCCCACCTCCGCCTTCCACACACGCGTCCGGCTGCATGGGGACGCTCCGCAAGGGGACACGGGCTGCCCAGCCCCTCCCCAGTGGAGAACTCCCAAAATGCATCGACACCCCATCCTCTCATCTTGGGTCCCAGCCAGGACCCCCCAAAATCCAAAGCCCCCTCAAGTCCAGGGCCCCCAGCAAGCCCGCTCAGGGCGAGGAGAAGCAAGGGGACAGGACAGGGCATGTGGCATGGGGGGCGCAGCAGGGAGGAGGGCGAGAGAAGACGTTTTCCTTTCTAGATTTTTTATTTTTCCTCTTCCTTTCTTTCTCCCCCCCCCTTAACTTTTGGGTGGTGTCGTTCCTTTCCTTTTCTCTCCAAGATTTTTTTTTTTTTGAGATTGTTGTTTGTTTCCATTTTGTATTTTACTGATATTACCAGGATAGTTTACTCTCTTGCTTTCTGCTTGCTGCACACACCAGATCACACACACACACACACACACACACACCAGATCTCACACATACACACACCAGATCACACACACACACACACACATCTCACACATACACACACCAGATCACACACACAAACCAGATCACACACACACACACCAGATCACACACACACACACACACACCCCAGATCTCACACATACACACACCAGATCAC